TCACTGAATTGTACATATCTTTCAGTCCAGCTCTCTTTGTAATAAAGGTTTTCATTTGATATTAATTTCATTCGATTCATTGAATCGTAGTTTTTTGCTTTGCAATAGAAATCTATTTTTATTTTCTAAGGGTTTTCTCGATCTTTCCCTAACTTGAAGATTTGATTTTTATGCTTTTTGATTTAGTTTTGATTAAGATACATAAAAATAGCCATCAAGAAAGCATTATGTGCAAAATTATTATTAGTTGAATAAGTTTATTTTAAATAATTTTCATCTGTTGCTATGATTGATTCTACCCTATTCTATTGACGCTTGTTTATGATTAAATTAAATGTAAAAGCAATCTACGACGGAAGAAGAAAATATATTCTTTACAATAAGTACTTAGTTCATTCACAACCGTTATTGTAAAGTAGTAAAGAAAACACGAGATTATGATTGTAGGCAGAAAACATCTTGATTAGTTTAATGCTATTGTAGTCAGTCATTTAAAATATTCATTACGCACATTTGAATAAAAATCTATTTCCATGACAATATGGATGTGGTTCAGTGACAATTTTATCGCATTCCTATCAAGACAAGACCAGTGTGACTGTCAGTTTCTGCGATTGGGTAAGGCTCTGCAAATACTGCATTTAAATATAGCTTATGTAGAGTTATCACTATCCAAGTATTTGTCGTTTGAGAAGAAAAATTTTGGTTCATTTTTGAGACGACTTAAATTGCTTTTCAGAAAAAGGTGCACCTCTGTAAACATATTTATGTTTTATTATTAGAAAACCTTTTAATGGTTGCCAAATAATTTTCTTTGCCTAATCATCACTACACAGTATAGTACATTTACCTTTGCCATTATGCATTATTAATACATTTGGAGTTGACCCCACATGGGAAATGTCGATAACATTATGTGGCTATCATATAAATGCTAATACGCAAATGGCAGATCGTTGATAAAGCCAAATGTATATCTTATGGCATTAGTAATATTGACTGATATTACCATGTACTATCGGGGACTCTTCCGCCTGACCACTTTGTAGAAATTTTAGCGTAAGCGCATCGCTCCGGTCACGTGCTCACCGCGTCTCTAATTGGTTACGCATTTTACTATATTTTTACTACGACCAATAAGAGACAATCAGGGCTTAGGTTGCAATACGAAATACCATTGTGCACTTTATTGTCATACGGTTAAGGTTTAAAACGAAATGTTTCTTTTTGTTCAATCTTTCTTAGTTTTAGGCTGAGTTGCACCACCTAACTTTGACCGTAACTATAACGGTAACCGGTCCTTTTTGTATGGAGTTTGACAGAATTTTGACGTTTGTTAAAGTTAAAGTAAGATGGTGCAACTCAGCCTTAGAATTTTAATAATAGAATTTGGTTACAAACAAATAGATATGTATTTTTTTTAATATTGTGTTTTTATACGAGGTCTGTCTGCTTTTTGCTTTGGCGATCTGTCGACATATTCTCTCCTTTGTTTTTTTGTGAAGTTTCGTGATCAATAACCGATTGATTTGTGTTGACCCGTGCTAGTAATTGGACTGTTTGATTGCCTTTTTATTGACCTCCGCTCGATTACTGAACCATGCCTCTCAAAATAATTCTTATATTTACTTACAAACTTATCTATTCATTGTTAACTGTTTAAGTATTATTTAGTTTGAAGTTTAATTGTTATTGATTTAAGACCTTGTGTAAAGACACTTAATGTGCAATAAAAAATTGAATTTGAAATAAAACTAACTGAATATTATAATATTTACGATAACCAATTACCTGGATGTGAGATGTTCCGTTTTAAAGATAAGTGTTTCTTTAAAACGGAAAACAAAATATGCATTAAAAATAAATAGAAACCTATCAGGTATAAGTTTTTATTTACATTCAAGGATTTAAGAAAGTTATAGCCAGATCTTACAATGATTGTTTTAAGCCACAAATATTCCTTAACACTTTACTAATTAATTCAATAACATATTGTTTAAATAAGTTCCGAATAAATTAAATACCTATTAAATAAGTAAAATTCGAAAGCAACTGTATGATTTTGTATTTCTCGCCCTAACTAGATAAACTAATATCATGAGATTTACACTCATAATATCAACAATAATTGTAGAAAGGGCTACTTTTTTCTCGGGAAATTGCATAGTTACCTCGGAATGTGCGATAGCAATTTTGTGACCCGAGCGGGCAATCGCTAGTTCAAATTTTACACGAAGCCTCATATAATATTTTGTAGCGATTCTTTATTGGGTTTCAAATTGACTAAAATGCGACGTTGCCAAACGAGCGCTACGGATGCGGGTAATAAGCAATACTCAATCCTAATTGCTTTACATAGAGCTTGGTTTGCTAGGGCAAACATCTACAGTGGTGCGCCGACGCTGCTTAGACCCGAAATATGAATGAACGGGGGCGGAGCTTAATCGAGCGTGTGTGTGCAAACAATTTAGGCCCTTAAGGTGTCAAGGCGTTCGAGTCCCCGATAGTACCTACTACTTGCGCATTTTAGCATCAGTTTTTTTTTAGGCGTTTCATCTACAAAATGCATTAAATAACTAACACAACTAATATTTAATGTGAATTTTCTAGTGTATAATCCTTATTGCTATAAAAAGCAGCTTTGGAAAGCAGCCCAAGCAAAGCTTTCTATAAAACGAGCTTTTATGTACTTTTGTAATTAATGGTTACAAGCATAATATTTATACATCAACTTTACTTTATTTTAGAGTCATGTAAGCAGAATGGCTAGCAAACTTCATAATTATTTTTGTGTCTATTCAAAATGTTAGCTATGCCGGAATTACATTAGACAAGTGATCTAACACACTTATTGCTGATAACAATGATCGCGCGTCACTACGTCTGCTGTATCTGCCGGTATCGCATTGCAAATATTTGAAACTCGTAGTTGTTTCTGACTGGGAAAGTCCCTTATTACTACTCTCCAGTTAGCAACCAATGAAGTTAAAATACTTATACATTGTCCCCCTTATTACAAAAAGTTAGACTCAGTTTGTTGAACCCTGGTTGAAATTGACATTTAGTATGGAAATGTCATTTCAAACCAGAGTTCGTCCCGGGCACAGTAATAATATGTCCCGGGTTTAACTTTTTTGCAATACTCGTAAGGCCCTGTATGAACACTCAGCGTCAAATATAGTTCGTGATACTCGAAGTGGCCAAAAAGTTGACACACAATCTTATTCCAATTGTATCAAAGAAGTGTTGCGAACTTTTTGGCTAAGTACTTTGGGTGTATCGAACTATTTGATACTGACTGTACAGTCAGTAGGACGTCCACCCACAAGGTGGACCGACGACATCATAAAGGTAGCAGGAAAGCGCTGGACTCAGGCCGCTACCAACCGGGAAACATGGAAAGCATTGGGGGAGGCCTACATTCAGCAGTGGACGTCCTATGGCTGAGATGATGATGATGTACAGTCAGGCTATACATTTTTATTGCAAAATAGCACAACTGTGCATATACGAAACGTAAGATTCTACAGTGATTAGTTTGAAGCGTCGTCGTCTCTACATTGTAAAGTTCGATCGATCAATAAATTAGGACTTTCCATTCGTTAAAATAATAATTTGACTGCTTACATGAGCAGACCCTATTAAAAAACCTTGCGTTAGAGCCATCGTAGCATGAACCTACCACAAATCTAATCTCCAAAAAAAGTCATCAATCCATTTCCCTCAAAGCACAGCACTTTGCTAAATGGCTCGCTTTTTTGTGAAATGTCTTCACGCAGTCTCTAAAGCTTAGTCTAAAGAGTCTTTAAGTGTGGCGTCACTTTATCAAAATTAGGATCCAAGTATAAATGCGGGTCTGAAATGAAATTGTTACTAACTAATTCATACATTTATGTCTTGGTTATACGAGTTATTTGAACATCAATGTAAATAAAGTTTTTACATATCACCTTAGCATATCACCGAAATTTTACTGACTTTTTGCACAGGTTGTATTTTGTGAAGAACCTGGAACTGTAGCTACTCGGCAATACTCATACTAATGCTGATTTTGATACCAAAAACATTGATGATAAAATATGTGAATTAAAATGATGCATATTGCATCGTTTCGGTGATTAAAATGTAACCGAGTAACAAACAAACAAAAAGAGTTAACTCTCGCATTTGTAATAATAGAGTCGAATGTGAAAGTAAATCAAACGAAAGGTTCTTAAAATCAGCAATCATTTCTCTTGTTAGTTATATTTTTCCGTTAATTCATTGGGAAATTATAAATTAACAGGATATACCTTAGGTACTCCTGTAATCTGTGGGTGGATCTGATATGATCTGATATCGATCTTATACGAGAGCTATTTCAAAGATATCTCATAACAAAGTTCGCAAGGATCGGTACTTACACATTAATTAATTAAAATTGATACCGGCGGCAAATTCAATGCCCGGAGTTATCGGGGCCCAGTTTACTTTGTAATAATTAATAGTTAAGCCTACAAAATATCATATATTACTCCATCATTATTAATTGTTTTATCACAGTATGTAACAGATTACACCACTCGCATATTATTGTAGCTAATGTTACCTCACATGGAGTAGGTACATAAGTAGATAATGGCACATGGTTTTATCTTTTTAATTTACAAGTAAAAATTACTAAGGTCGTTTCTGCTCGTTTTCGTTAATTGCTTGTATTGTGACATAAATAATTATGTGTATCAGTTTTCTATAATAAAATTCCATTAAAAAGTACTATAATAGATAAGTACCTACAATAAACTATGAAAAACTACTACAAATATATGAAAATAGCATGCTATTACAATATATAATAAGTAAATAATGCATTTCAATCCGTATTAATAAATTAATTGGATGACCACCACGAAATCATACGAAAACCATTCCGCTATAGTGACAATTGCACTCTAACGGAAGGTAAACAACTCTACCTACATCCAAACACATAAAAACAATATCATAATCCAAAAACGTACCTTTAACCACCGCCTTCTGGTCTCAGTCAAGAAGTCCGCCAACACCATTCTTTCACGAAACTTTTCACTTCGAACAATACGAGTACGAGTAAATACAACGATATAACGAACGTGCGGAGTGCGCGAGAACTCCCGGCGTAGTGCGGCGCGCGGCCCGGCGGCTTTGTTTTATCCCCGCCAGAGGGCCGGAGGGATGCGCCCTCCGGGACTGGGAACGGTTCCCGTGGCGTAGCAGGTGTATGGGTGATGGGAACTTCGCGCCAGGTGGTGGAGTTGACTGCGTAAATGACGTTGAATGGCGATGACTTAATATTACTTTGGGAGTGATCATTGTGTAGGTGCTTTACTCATATTTTGTATATTGGTTTACTAATTGATGAGGTTTCTGACTTGCCAACCAGGAATAAATTCTTTCCATGCGGTCAAATTGTTTTCAATTACTCTATTTACGTTAATCCAAGGTTAGTATTTCTCAGTTTAGTGTGGTGTGCATATATTTATCATCTAGGTACTATAGCAGCAAACTTTTTTGTATATTTTATTTTTTGAAAATTATAGTCTCGGATATTCTAGGAGCCTGTAACGTAATGCAATACGTAGACTATCTACGCGTCGCTAAAGCCCCGTGCCGTGCGTACGACGCATTTAGGCAGATACGTGCCGCAAAACATGTTTCAATCCCGCATTCCCGGTCTAAAACCAACCCACGCGAAACGGTACAACATTATCCCTCGAAAATTTCACAGAAATGAATGTCAAAAACAAGTAAAAATTGAAAATAAATGAACATGAGACCAATAGTCATCCATACCGTATTATTACCGGGAAAATCCTTTTGAGGAAAAAAAACATAACGCGAACTTTTAAAGGGATAAAATATTTATTCAATTTCTGATTACATTGATGCCATGTAGGTACTAATACCCGCTTTTCAATTATCCTCTTAGTTTGATTAAAAGTGAAAAAAATTGAGACACTGGATCAGATATTTTTCAGTAGACAATCTTTATATTTTTAGTCTTACTTCGCGTTTTGTAAATATAGGAGTAACAATCTTAATCTTTTTAATCACTAATCCGATACCTGCTGATCTTCTTCTAAGTAGGTAGTTAAGTAATTTATATAACAAGGAGACCCTTCTTTGTTACAAAGTAGATTTATATTTGATTCCACCCCCGGTCATTAGGTAATAAAGAAGACATGGGAAGGTTTTAAAGTGACCCAAATTGTTATAAGGCTTTAATCGGTAGTGGGTTTAAGTAGTTGATAAAACAAGTCTTTAGCACTTAACTGAAGATTTACTGTATACAACAGTACAAATTTCTATCTTGCTAAAAACTAAAAAAAGAAAGAAAGAATGAAATAAAAAAGATACAAAGAAAGAAACATTTATTACGATGAACAACACTTAGTTAGTAAAGTATGTCTTTTTTAAACAAAGAGGGTCTCTACATGTTTGAAGTGCGTACTTACCTTTTAATTGGCGTTGTTTGCTCAAACACAAGACATAAAGTAGGTAACGTTATGTTTGCAAAAAAGGTCTCTACATATTTGAAGTACGTACTTACCTTTTTATTATTAGCTTTGTTTTACATACTACATTTCCCAGGTTGCTTATGTCAGTTGTATAATATTTTAATAGTTAATTTTGAATTTTTTACCCTGATCTGTCTCTACATATTTTAAAATATTAATTACATATTATGTAGAAGACGGCGAGCGAGTCTACGCCTTGAATGCAATCCTTTAAGATAAAATGGCTCTAGATAGTAGATTGCAGTAATTTGAGCAGTTTATCATGCTGAAACTAGGTCTAATAGCCTTACTGTATTTTCTACCAGTTACTCTAAAGAGGTGACGAGATAGCGGAATATTTTTAGTATATTAGGTATTTATATAAATATAAATCTCGTGGCAATGAAAACTACATATGATATTATGTACCTAATTAAATAATTATTATTTCAAATTCAAAACTACACTTTCGTTGAATTGCGCAAAAATCTGTAGGTAGGTACTTTTTTCGATATCTTTTGTTTTCATACCTAATGAGTTTTAAATAAATGAATGTTACAAGTTTACTTTAAGATCAATAAGCGCCCAGTGTTTCCATATTACGTAAATTGATAAGCAAATATTATCACTGTCATCATAACGGCAACTAAGTCTCAGGTAAATAATAAATGAAGACGTTTTCTTATTTTTATAAGTGCCTGACGGTAATTGCCATGGTATAGGTGGTATACAGGTTGTCCCAAAAAGTAGTGGCAAGTCAAAGCTCAGAGGTAGAGCACTAAGGCTATCCAAATCACCCCTATGTATTTTGGGCGATTTTTGATAGTTTTCGAGTTTTTTGGTCCCTGTGGCGCGAATAGGTAGTCAAATTACATACCAGATATTTTAATTATTTATTAGATGAATACTAGGCCTAGCTAATGTAAAAACGTTAAAAATCCTGTACTTTACTGAGATACAGGCCAAGAGCTTCCTCGTTGTGGATAAAAAATAAAAAAAATAAAAAACTTATGTTGTAAAAAAAATCATAAATCGAAAATTATGTATCAAAAGTCGCGGTGATTCGGGTAGCCCTAGTGATGCTCTACCTCTGGGCTTCGGCTTGACACTACTTTCTGGGACACCCTGTATAAGGCTGTCTAAAGCTTTTGTCACACTGGATGCCTTATGCGGTCTGTGGTCAGATCAAATGAACGCAGCCCATACCTATCAATTTTCTTTGATCGTACCTGCACTGGCAGATCGCACCAATACAAAATGTATAGAGATCGACAATGTTGTTCATAATAATGCAGGCTGCATTCACTTTGAGCTGACCGCAGACCGCATCCAGTGTGGCGAGTCCCTTATAGCGCGTAACCGCGCCCGTTATCTAGTTAACAGTGTGTCGAAGAATAACCTAATGAGTTGTCACGTCATTTGGTGTTTTATCATATTTTAACATAGCGCCATATTTTGAGTTGAGGCTTAAAACAATTAATTTTCTTTATGAATGGACCTCATGCGCCAATGCACCTCGAATGAGAATTTTACTATTTACGACTTTACTATATTTTTCCTCTAACTTTAAATTACAAAAAAGTAAATAAAACTTTGCAATAATTTCATTTTAATTACTTAATAAAAACCCTTTGTAAAAACACTAAAAACTTTCTGTCGTAAATATATCGTCTGACAATTATTATTCCACACAGAAGCTGTGAATTGTTACCCGAGGGTTGAAATCGAGTTACAAAAGGCAATCAACGGAGGGTAGCAGGTTTGATTCCTCTCCCAATCACATTTAGCCGATGATTGGCGGCGCTCTATTTGATAACGTTTTATGCCCTAAGGACAGACGACTTTTGTAGAGTATATAAAAGGAAGGCAGTTTAATTAAAGGCATTAACTTTAATTAAAGTGGCCTTCTAAATTAATTAAAGTCTCAACGAAAGTAAATAAAAATATTACTTCATATACCAAACCATTTTACAGGTTATTTGGGCAACTTTTACGAGCCAGAGCATTAACTTTGATTGAGCAATGAATTTATTTACGCTACGTTTTTCTCAAATGTATTTTCCTCTTTGTAAAGACGACAGCACATCCAACTATACACTTTTTTTGCAAAAAGGTCTCTATTGCAACCACATAAGAGGCCACAGTGCTTAGCTTGACTAGCCGTTACTATACAGGCTTTATCACACTAATATTATAAAGGCGAAAGTTTTTGAGTGTGTATGTTTGTTACTTCTTCACGTCTGAACGGCAGGAGCGATTTTAATAAAATTTGGTATGGAGTTAGCTAACACCCTGTATTAACACATAGGCTACGTTTTACCGCGACGCAGGGCACAGCTAGTAAACAATAAAACTTCATAATTTTACGATTTTTAAACTACGTTTATTGATTTGAATATTCGCAGTCTGTATCACAAAGATATGAATGGAGAAGGGAGATGGATGTCAGGTATTCGAAAAGATATTTAAGAGTTTTAATCGACATGCCAATGCTAAAAAAATATATAATTAGATACATGATGTATATCAAGAGTCGATCTAGGACCGAGCTGCCTGGAGTCAGTTGATACGGAGGGCCGACTCTAAATAAGTATTAATAAAATTGGATAGGGCAAAGAAGCTTATATCACCCAGCCAGAAAGGTACTTAGTGAGTTCTTAAACTGAATTATTATTAATGTTTACAAAACTACGACCCCCAAATGTAAATCCGAGTGAACCCAAATGTAAATGAAGGCGCGATACATATTTCCACGACCTTCATCAAGTTAATATCGCCGACTACCGCCCGTTTTACTGCATTCAATCCGAGTGCCCATTACGAACTTTTAAATGATTTTGTTATGAGAATTTTGTAGTACATTAATGTTTTTGTAAATACTTAAATACTTAGAAAACGCGCAGACCAATACAAACAGATAAATTCAGGTAAATAAAATGTTTGCGTTGTGCGGGGATAGAAAATTAAAAACATGTTTTCATTTCGCCTACCGCTGTCCCGAGTCCCGATACTTTTCGCTTATATCGATTGATATAACGCTAAATCACTCAATCGAGATGGTCTAACCTTCTAAGATACTCTGTGACTTTATTTACCACCTTATACACTGCTGAACATAGCTGCTCTGAAGTTCTGCCCAAGATTTCTCTAAATCTGCATAACCTACCAAATTCCCTTGATGATTTGTAATCAATTTTATCTATTATAATGGCTGCGATATGGAGAAAGTTGACGTCACCTTAGACTGACCCTATTCAGCCAATAATCCCCGTCAGCACCTGAGAAGGGGCCCGAGAGCCGCAGGTCCAGATATTAGGTCAATGCCGGGCCGCGGGAAGTGCAGCCCTTGCCGAAACTTATCACGAACAATGTTCGAGAGGCATTGTTCCAGAGATAGCAATTAGGTAACAACAACTTTGAACTTTATTCTAGTTCCTAATAAAAGTGAAAGGTCACTGACTGACTCACTCATCATGAAATCTCAGAAACTATAACACCTACAAACTTGAAATTTGACAAGTAGGTTCTTTAAAGTGTGTAGACATCCGCTAAGAACAGATTTTACGAAACTCCACCCCTAAGGAGGTAAAAAGGGGTCCACGAGTACGAGATCGCGGGCTAGTAGAT